TAGCTGTCATCTAATGGGTGATCTCCTCCTCCTCCTCCTCTGGCCCACAACCCATTCCCAGTAGACCTTGTACCCAACTCATCCCTCGTAGAACTCCTCTCTGCAAACTGTTTTCTCTTGCCGTTATTATAGCTGTCCTCCGTCGTATTATAAAACGCAAATGGGATCTTCCAAAACACCTGATTTTGTGTTCCATCCCTCCACGACGACTTGCCCGAGTACTCCACTACGTCTCCATTAACAGTAACGTCCATCATATCGTCGCCAATCTCCCACTTTGTAATTCCCTCTACAGAGCTGACTACGTAGCCTCCCCAGGCCCCCTCGCCGTATTCTGCGCCGCGGAGAAAATCCGGTTCACTGGGAAAGAGCTCCATGTTGGTAAGGTTGACTGGACCCCGCTCAAAACGCCACGTTAGAGCTTCGTTGGTGTCATCTTGATCGTAGGCACAGGACCAGAGGAGACTAGCACCCATGCCAAACCAGCCAGGCGAGGACGCATCTTGGGCTGAAATATCACAAGAGGTGGATTTTTCGGAGAGGAGAATGGGGTTGATCAGAGCAGTGCCGGTGGGAATTACGGGGAAGGTGTCATTAGGACTTGATAGCGGTGGGCCAGTCTCCTCAGAGGTTGGTGGAACCTCAGTCGTAGGCTCTGGGTAAACGGTTGCCGTTGCTGTTGGACTGGGGTGTGTTAGCTACAGTGCCAATGAAAGATATGAAAGAGCCTAAAATGAGCCTTTGCGCAAACAGAGCCAGCTCCAGTTCTCCGTTATCTGCATGGCCAATAAGGCATCGGCACCGTCCAGGTTGCTGAAAACTGGAGCTCGCTCTGTTCCCGAAAAGGCATAGATAAAAATCTATAAAAAAGCCATTCTTACGCTTGTGCGTGGTGTAACCCTACACCTAAGCCCACTCCCAGCCCTACAGCTAGGAGTATCACGATCGCAATCGCTACTCCCATCAAGACCGTCTTTGTCCTGAATCCCATCCACCTCTTTTCATCCCATTCCTTGAGATGCCCCCCACCTCCATCATCCGGCTCTCCTCCATCTCCTCCCAGGTCCCTATTTGCAGCCAATAATCCAACCGCCCCAGTTGCAGCCAATGCCCCTGCTCTCCTCCTCCGTCCCTCCTCGTCCTCATCCCGACCCACATCAATCCCCGAATCCCCATTCGACACCTGTAGCCTCAGTGGTACCCCCACAACCTCCGGCTTTGGCTGGTCGGGATACTTTGTATATGGCGGCGGCTCCACGCTCCTCAAACTACTAGCACCAGAGGGGAACACCACCGCCGGCGGCGGCCTATGTGGCGCAAAACCATCATTCACAGGTATCCCAAAATCATCCGCAAAAGGATCATCCATCCCGCCATCTTCCTCCTCGGGCACAACCGACCCCTGGGTATTTATCGACTCGGGGTATATATTCTGCTGATGTCCCCCATAATTCCATCGCGGTGCTACTCCTGCTGCTGTCGAGTCGGATAGGTTAGAGGGTATCGATGATAGTGTCGAGTAACCAGTTCCAGTAGTTCCTGTAGTGTTAGATCTATTAAGAGGGGCTCCATGCCCATATGTTGACGAAGACGAAGACCTAACGGAAGGTGTCAACGACTGTGATATTCTGTGGTGCTGGTAATACCCGGTACCACCACCACCTGGCAACGGACTCGGGGAGCGTCGTGACGATAACGACAATGACGGACGGCGAACCGAGGGAGTTGGTGTAACAATGGAACTTGAGTAGAATGCAGACCCGCTTGGTGAGGGGGGAGGCGAGTCTGCTGGATCGGCGAACACATTTTCGGGGCTGCTTGGACGGGCCTGTTGGTAATCGCGTGATGGTGAGGGAGCTGGACGACGACCAGATGTTGATACTCCTAGTGATTGACCTGGTCGATACTGTGTATAAACAGGATAGAGAGCATCGTCGAGGTCACTGGCAGTAGCCGACCGTTGAGAGGAGGCGCGAGAGAAGCGGTTCTCCATTACGGTCAGCCCTTAAGGGCGAGAGTCGAAGGGGGGTTGACGGTGAGAACGCTCTAGGCGAGGGTTGATGGTTGTAGGGCCCGGTGATGATGGAAAGGGAGCAAGAATATCCCCTTACCTCGAGGGGGGATAGAGGTGGTGTGGGCGGCGATAATGGGTGACAGTGGGTGATGGTGTTGTTGTCTGTATCAAACGAGCTGGTACTGAATGGAACGGAGTAAGCGACCGGTGAGAATAGGTATGTTACCTATTCGACAGATGTGTGAGGAACAGGAATGAATTCGAGAAAATATTAATATAATCCCGGCTGATTATTATTTTTTTTTCCCTTTGTGTGAAATGAATTAGATTTAGTAAAGAACACTCCCACACTGTTGAACACACACACACACACACACACACACACCTTGCGAGGTGAGAAGTTGGCTAGGCGATGGGGGGTGGTTGTAGTGGTAGTGGGCAGTGGGCACATTGGGCACTGGCGCAGAGAGCATACGAGAAGCCCCAGGGCTTGCCTTTACAGAATTTTAAGAGGGTTAGGGACACCCCCCCATAAATTGGTATTCTCGCTCGCTATTGGCTCCGCTCCACCCGCTACACTGCATGCTAACTGAACTCTCTCTCGAGCTCCTGCACACTTCCCGCCCCAGCGAATGGCACAACAGCAGCAAAAAGATACACTAGACGTATCATCCTAGTCGCCAGCCAGGGTAAAGATCCGAAAGTCCAGTCAAGGGGAAGAAGAAGGTCGAGGAGAAAGTAAACAAGGTGGGAAACATACCCCCCCCCTCCCTCCCTCCCTCTCAAAAGAAAGTAAAAAAAAGAACATGCTTCTTCGACTCTCACCTGTCGCTATGTATCATCATCATCATCATCCTTCGGCTCAACCCTTCACTCTCACCCTCTCACACTCTCTCACCTCATCACCTCTGTTACCTTTGGCAGCCTCCTGTCCAGCGGTGGCCATTTCCTTTTCGGGCCGTAGCGCCATCCTTGTCCCCTGCCGAAACTGTCTCTGCCGCTAAAATAGAAGAAGGAATAACCCTTCCCTTGAACACAGCCCCCACGAAAAAAGATGTCTGGCTGGGCAGCTTGCCATCGAGAATTGCATTGTTTCAGCCATTGGTTGTTAACTGTTCTTTCCCTCTCTCCCTCTCTGCCTGGCTTCGTTATGGAGGAAACTTGGTTTTTAAACCCCCAAGAGATCATGCGTTGCCGCCTGCCCTGTTTGGTTCCCCGGTTTGACAGGGTATGATGCAGGCACGCACCACGAACGGCAATTTTCTTTTCCTTAATTCTGGATGGATGATACTTTTGGATCTCTTGATCTCCCAAAGCTACTAACTTACTGTGCTTGACGGTTCTTTTGATAACGACAGCATTTGGACTCTCTATGGATATCGTCCAATCAAGAACCAATTCTCCCCACAATCCATGGGGGTAGGTAGGTTACTTACCGCTGTTGCCATAACCCTCACTCTCCCCACACTCTGGGCCATACAAAACCCGATTATCCCCCCATCCACTCTCACGGAACACCAATCCCGTCTGCTCACGGCCCTATCTCCGAACCAGAAGTTCCATAAGCATAACCGGACATTTCCGCAGACTTATGTACAGGTGCCGTGTATCCATCACCTACACCTTGCTAGCAAGTCAGCCCGACGTCACTTCACAATTACAGCTTCGCCAAATCAACCTAGTAGTATACTCTAAATTAAGAATAGGGTTAGGTGAGATACTCATCGGTCATGAAGGATCACTCGCGGATTACTGGTGAGCTTTGCCATCTGGCAACATATGAGATCGCACTAAGGAACATGTGAAAACGACACATTACTGTTGTAATCATAAAAACGTCAACGAGGGCAGAAAATCCAAACACAACATTCGTATTACTGCATCACATCGACCGTGAGGGGCAATAAAACGTTTTAATATACATACATATCTCACGCTGGCCGGTTTGAATTGGTGGGCTTGATACCTGTTTTGAGATAACCCGAGTAAGAAGTATATGTCCACTGCGGATCATATCAAAAACGTCACGGTCCAGCCCATCCAGCCAGTCGGTGATGAACGCTACTCCGAGTCGTCAGGTAACAGGCAGGTGTGATTTCTTCTAGCAATCTCACATTCCACCATTCATTTTCTGGACAGTTGGTTGGGTGAGACACGGAATAACCGTTGGCAAATGCTACTAGCTATCTAACTAGCTGTCCAGCATGCAAATGTCACGGAGAATCACTCGTAGAAACACATGTGGCTGATCGCAACCGCGACAGGAAGGTCTAATAGCGATTGATTGTCTTGCGGCATTGGTCCGCAGGCCCGAGCGCCATTTTTTTCTCTCTCGGTGTTCTGAGTGAGACGCAGTTACCGATGGGAATGGATACCTAAAGCTGTGCGAAAGAATTACGAAAAAGAGGCTCTGCAGAGGAATTCTGGATGTTTTCAGCCTCCGTTGCGATACAACGCCACACCCGCACATATCCCCGCTCATCCACCTCCTCATCTGCTGCCTCCAGGTCTCTAAATTTTTTCGCAGCAACCAGCTCGGTCCTGATCTGTTCAAAGCGCCGAACCGCATCCTTGCAAACCAATACCAGATTGACGATCTGCATATGTGAATCAACTATAGTTACCCGATGGAACGGAGTACCAACCGAAGGCGAGTAATAACTCAATGTCTCTTTGTTAGTTAGCTCTTCTCCGTGCTCACTGGGTAAATTGCGAAAGAAGATTCTCTTGCTATGTCACTTTTTTTTGTGGGGTGGTGCAATGCACCGACGTAATATAGATGGAACGCGGTACCAGGGGTTGTGCGTGATGATCGACAACGAAGTGTAAAGTAGAATGAGGTGAGGTCCGGGATGCCATGCCGTCCTCGGCCTTTTAAGCTTCCATGGCAGAGGCCTCCTGGAAGTTGAGTATAGATACAATCAATATTTTGTTATAAGCTGCGCGCATGCGTTCTAGTATAACCGAATATCACAGATGTTTTCGAATGTTCGAAGGGAGCCACACCTGGACCAACCCGACCGACGATGTTTTGGAATCGCATAGAAGAAGTTAAGATCGCAGCGGCATACTCAGGGGTGCGCGTATATTCAGATAAAGACTAACGAGGTAGATAGTGGCACGGCGGTGAGAATACCTACATGTAGACATCGTATACTCTGAAGTCAAGCAATAAGCCAGTGTGTTGAATGGATCTGGATGTATTAGTTGGATGTAGAATTGGCCATTGAAAGATCGGCTTTACAGAAAAACAGGGAATATGTGGCAGCACCCCAAACTACTACAGGTATTACTTGGGTTTAGATAAATGTGGCCTCGAGGGGTGTCTAAAGCTATTGACCAGATGGTCAGAAAAACGCCTTGATGAATCACTCAACCAATCGATCAGAAACCCCTCCGACCGCTAGAATTACGGTTGCAATAAATCTATGCAGGTGTGTCCAGGGTGGTTGTTTTCTCTGGTCCGCCGGACCGAAGCTTATACACCGAGCCCATAACCACGAAGCCCAGGCTATCACACGAGTGAGATCCCATGATCGAGTCTTCCCGCGGGCATCGCGCTAGTAACCCGCATTTCAAATTGTCTAATTTACGTTAGCTTCATATTTCCTCTAGGATAAGATGAAGCAGTATCTGAGTCGTATGGAGCAGGCGTTCAAAGAAATCTATCCGCCCATGGTCCACTTTCCAGTACTACGAAACAGAAAGCCAGGAAAACTTCGATCGATCTTCTGGATAAGCCCTAAATCCTAATTATAAACAGTTCTCGAGAAAAGAACTATACTGGACATAGATGAGATCGCACTACACAAGTAAACGTGTCCCTAACTAGATTGACGTACAATAGGCGAGCAGTAAGAGACCACATTACAAGCCAAGACCAAAGTGCTTTCCGCTCAGCCTCATAACCACCACGCTTCAACAACCACATACTCCAACCACCACAGCAAGTCTACTCCATAGCCAACTACACCTCCATGCCACTCCATCTAGGATCGGCCCTTTAGCTCTCCATCGTCTCATACAGGGCCATATTTAAACTGCTTACCTACGTACTTTCGATGGAATCCAACTTACCAGAAAACCACCCAACCACCACCATCCACAGCTCCTCTCCCCAGAGCCGCACCAACAACCAATGGCACCACCACCTACACCACAGCCTAGCTAGGCGCAGAACGGTGTCGAGCCCCACGGAGGTGACGCGTAACGATATGTCTATATACATCAAACCGCATATCATGAAACAAGCCCATTGCCAAGCCAAGCCAAGCCAAGCATGAAACAGTGGTGTTAGTTATGAACGGCGCGAATATCAAAACTGGCTACATGCACACTCTAACCTGGCAAACAGTAACGAACGGTGCGGTGTTTGAGGACCAGGAATCTGTCTATGGACGCACAATCGGAACCCGGTATTTTACGGTCGATGCTTGATGGTGCTTGTGCGCAGGAAGGGCAGATTAATCGGCACGGAATGGGATTGCGAGGCGGTTTTTCTAGCTCGAGAGAGTTGGAAAGAGACAGAATTAATAGTAATGGGTGACTGTTACCTTCGATTTTCTTAAAGAAAGAATACATGTTTGGTTATCCCCTGCACCTGTACCTCCTCCCCCATCCCACTTCATTGGGCTTACATAAATAGCTAGACTCTCAATACTGCCTCCGTCCAAAGACCTGATACATGTAACTCATCCGACAAATCCCTCAAATCCCTCCAGTCCCGACCAATATCAGGAAAAGAACCAACTTGCCACCGCTCCCCTATGGTCGAACCCCAAGACTGCCATGTTTCCAATTGGCGCCACTAGGACGCTGAGAAGATCTGGTTAATGTATTCGGCAGTATTAAGACAATAGTCATAGTTAAGTTCGCACTGATCGGGGGTCAGTTTTGCCTTTTTGAGGCATTTGAAGAGGGTGGTCGTGCAACTATCTATGGTGTAAAAAAAAAAAAAGGTTTTAGTGGGTGCTTTTGTTTAAGAGGGGAAAAAACGGGGAGGGGCTGGGTGGGATATCATACAGGTGATGGCTTGAGCGACAAAGTTTGCAGTCGACGCGGACAAGATGATATAGAGATCTTTCAAGTCCTGGGGGACTATGCTGGGGAGTGGCAGGATGGGGAATGCATCAGAGACCGAGAGGAGAGAGAGAAAGAGGCAGAGGGCGAAGATGAGACTCTTTGAGGCAGTGAATTGCATGTTTCTGATTTTGGCTGTGGGTATGTTTTATTGGTTGGATTGCTGCGTTTGTGTTTGTACTATTGTGTGATTGTGGTGATGTTGCTGGAATGATTGGATTGATGAGATTAATGGTGAAGAATACCTCTAGTTTTATAGACATCCAAGCAGACATGATTCCTGCTTGTCAAGTTATATCTACAGTACGACTGGCATCGTACTGTACCTATTCATTCATGATCCCCACGTCATGTCATGCCCTTTCATTGTCCCCCTTCGGCAACACAAATACCGACTCATCAAGGAACCTCATCAAGGAAACCTATCCCGTATCGATTATGGAGTTCAATAAGAAGAAAAACACTCCCTCCCCGCCAAGGCCCGTCCGCAAACATCAAGTCCCGCCACCGTGGGTCCCATAATTTGTCGGGAACAATGAAACCCCTAAATTTAAGCTCCCATCACCAATTATGTGCGGGGTCGATGGTAGGTGTGCCGATAAGCTTTCTTCCACGAGCTCTGGGCAAAAGCTTGGCCGAGACAGCACATCTGGTTCTTGGTATCTGTAGGTACATATGGTATGTATGCCAAATTTTGATACCACTGGCGTATCGGCTTGGCCTGCACGATTGGTCGGGTAGGGCTAGTTGCGCTGTGATCGGTTATTGGCGTTTTCATAGCTGTTGGCAATTATTTGTCACCCAGCTGGCCCGGTTGGTCACGAGCGAAGAAAGAATCTGGTTTCTGGTCGAGTGAGGTCGATGTTCAAATACTACTCTACGTCATATCCTGATCCCCATATGCCATATCTCCAAACCACAATAGAAATGGGAATTAAAAATGCTCTCAAAAGAGGTTCCTCCCCGCGCTACTCCGCGGAAATGTCCGCTCTTCTCCGCATGGCAGGCATGACTCCGAGCCTCCGACCGTTATGTTTCTGTTTCTAGGCACCACCTTCCGTCCGGGGATACCTTTTTTGGCCCCGTTGCAATTGTTAATCGGTGCCGGGTTGCACGTTGTTCATTGACCGGTGCCTTGTCCGGTTCCGGATTGCAACGTGAGAACCCTAACCCTGGGTTCCGGGATTTGTGTTTTCTGCAGATGGGGGTTTCCTTATCGGGGCCACGGAGGGAATAAACGGGATAGAGATGGATAAAGCTTGTTTTATTCTGCAGGTACGGGGTGTTTGTTTGGAGGATTTCAAGTGGGGGAGACTACTTTGTGCGTGGTGAGTTGAAAAGTCAGCTACATAGGTGTAGCTTTGTGGCTTGAAGGCTTGAAGTGAAGACGCCGACCCAACGAATTGGGCCCCGGGGGGTATTAGGGTTTATACCGATGGAGCTGGATATTTGGAGCATGTGTACCTAGATACTCTACTAGTCCTAGATCTAGATACCTCGGTACATACATCCTACCGTCCACTCAGACACATCCCACATGCAGGCCCGACCGGTATAACTTGCGATTTGCGGGGGAGGAGGCAGAATAAGCATCTTTAAAATCTACTTGTCATGACGTTCGTTGTTCCAGTGGCGCCGTTAACTAATTGCTTGTCTATCCTTTTGGCCGATTGGGTTGGTGGCTGAGAGCGACAGGGGATGGTTAGTTAATCATATCCCGATCGGGCAATGTGTAATAATTGCGTTCCAATTTGGGTCGGTGTTGTAAATCGGGCTAGTAGTGATATGTTGATTGCAATTGGTGCTCACAAGAGCTGGAGAGAGATACGGTTGTGAGTGCGCGATCGAGGTGGCTGTTGGAAGGTTGAACGGGGAGAACAGACTGGATGTTGTATCTGTGCTTTGTCTTCACTTGCTACATTATTATTGTGTAGAGTAGGTGTAACTAAATACATGTAGTGTGTCATTAGCGATAGATGAAGACAGCGTGTAAAGCCAGCTAGCTGAGAGTGGACATGAAGAGACACATTGCTAGATTTAACAACCGTCTATAAATCGCGAGCGGGATCGACCGAGACCTGCAATGAAAAGACATCCATTGTACCCACACTATGCGCTCGTCTGTCGATACTGCCCATCTTATGGCAGAAGGTAGGAATTTTGATGAGAGATTGATTTATTGATAAGAAAGAAAAAATCGATCTAATATCTGTGAGTAAAAGTATACACTCTTAGCAATTAACATAGGGTGGGCGGTGCTTTTAATTCGATAGATCAAGAGTCAAAATTATAGCTAACAAGACGATATAGACGGCCGAGCCCCCTCCCTACCCCCCAAAGCTACTAGCAGCTAATATTCGAACAACTTTAAAAGAACAATCTAGAGACATGATGAGAGAAATTGCAGTGGTGTTCCGACTAGTAAAAGGAGCAGGACTCTTTTTAGGCCCCTCGGACAACGCCCAGGTACCTAATACTAAGGGCCATACTTCCTCTAATGTGTAGGTAAGTTTTCCCAATCATGACCCATAGGGGCTACTCACCGCCCTAGGAGCGGGCTATAGCTCATCTGCCGGCAAGCTATGTCGACTGGTTGAGACGTATAATATAAGCGTACGGCTGGGGGGCCTAGTGTTCGAACTATCTCTCCAAAGAACGCGAAGTACCTGACCAGCGCTGCCAGGCGAGAGAATTGAGGCTTGGGAAGTATCGACTATTATCTAGCAACGATGTACACAATTATCCTGACATTCCTCACAGTTCTTATAGGGGGAGTTCATATGACGTGACCAAGCCCCCCTCAATCCGATCAGGCGATCCAGATTACGGGAGCATACATGAAATTTTGACCGAGTGATGCATGTGTTGGACAAGCCGAGAGCAGGTGCGCTGGTATACCTGTTTATTGCCGTAGGTTACTCGGGGTACGAGATGTAGAGTATGTCTCGATCGAGCATATGATATACCACGACCACGGAGACTTACCGCGAGCGCCTTGAGGCCTACTAATCTCAGCAGGAAGCTCAATCCTAGCTAGCCTTAGGCACATGCTCTCTACACAGCTGTCTACCAAGACGTTTAGCTACAATTACAATAGGTAGCATAATATTATGCGTCGCCGGAATCCCAATTGACTCACTGACAAGTATACAGTAAAAACCTCAAGGCACAGCTCGAAAAAGCCGCTTAATTCCGGCTCTGTGACACTCCCGTCTTTGTGACACTCCCGCCTCTGTGATTCTTCCGTCTCGACGATCTTCGCGTTGACCTGCTGCGCCGGAATGGGGCCAAAGTTCGCAGTATTGACGATCATTTCAATTGCTCCCCTGGTTATGCGCACCATCCCGTCAGTAATCACCATATATACCCGCCTGCATGCAAAAACCTTAAATCACCGGCCTTCTCGAGTAGTATCTACTCTATCCACATTTTGTCTTCTATACTCCACACAGCTGTCACTTATACATGAGTGGCTTGGCGTGTTGTTGCCCGCCACTATATAAAGCTTCTGTCTCCCACGGGCGCGTAAGGTACTCTAAGTATACGTAGAGTATGTGTCACGATACGGTGCACGCTGACGGGACGCTCACGTTTTGATAATTCGGTAGCGGATGGATCTGTAATGGTTATGGTAGAGCGGTGAGTTCTTGATCTACATACTAGCTAACGCTGTCTATGTAAATATTACTGATTAGAGCGTTTTGGCAACCGCCCTTTTCCAAATCTCTAGGTCAAAATTTGAGTTCTTGGCTCTGCGCCGCTAGAAGCAGGTCCTAGAAGATCAACCTGTAAATGCTTGTAGCAGCGCAGAGCCAAGAACTCAAATTTTGGCCTAGAAATTTGGAAAAGTGCGGTTGCCAAAACGCTCTATTATATTTCAGCGGTGAATCCAGGTACACGTAATACTATTTATGGCGGAGGGTAGGCTGGGAGACGGTACTTCACATGCAAATTAAACACGTAGGCCATTTGGGAGCTCGTTCTCGGGGGGGGGGGGGGGGGATACCGGGGTGTCTAGCAATGGCGAAGCTATGCAAGAAGACCCCATCGATCTCCGAACTAACTGCCCAATCAAAGTACCTTACGAGGCTAATTGACTCACACCGCACCCAAGAGACCCATCAATTATTCACTTAACGCAAATCTCGCAAGAAAGCCTACTCCCATTGCCTTCTTTTGATTCAGTTGACGCCGGGCGCATATTCTCGGGGTTGGGAAATATCTTGCAATACCGATCATTGACCATCAACTCTCAGGGCTTGCTGTCTATACTGGCCTGGTACTGTTACATGTATATTTAATGTTCTATCACGATGTTACATGCCCATAGGAAAAAATCTTGCCACTTTGAACCATTCTTCGAACTGTTCCAAAAAAAAGTTCCAAAAAAGTCATTGTCCCCATAGCCTGGTGCCAAGCCAGGGTTAGGGATGTTACAACGTCAGTACTTACCTGTGGTGTGAGGTTTCGTGAAACGAATCCTACGCGTCGTTCAGCTCACACTGAACTGAGCAGACGCGATTGACTTCATGCGGGGTTCCGGGAGTATCTGGAACAAAAATCTTAGAGAACAATGGTCAGGATCGCAGCCTTGTGGTGACATGCGGTTGTTGGCCCGTAACGTAAAACGTAGCCCATGAATGACTTATACTTTGTGGCGCTATCAGTTGACTGCGGCGGCAGGTTGTAAGTACTACTATAGCTACAGAAGTGCCCGCTGCGCCCTAGATTTGCAAAAATTTCACCTTGCGAACTTGTGAACTTGAGGACTTACTTGGGTAGGAATGTGGCTTCTGCAGAGGAAAAGACTAAATCTATACGTATTCCTGTTGTAAAGATAGAGTGTTTCGGATAACTACCGCCTACGTAGCCTGATCAAGCTACCCAAGAGGCCAGTTCAGGGTCCAAAGTCAGGACGCTGTGGTGCGGGTTACATTCCGCAATTACAACCGCCGATAGAGAGATCTCGAACATGAAGACCCTGAGACGCCTACCTAGCTATAGCTACCTAGACGGATCTGCAGTTATGTTACCCCCTACACATTCCTTGAGTTGCATGCCGTTGAGTTGCATGTCGTTGAGTTGCATGTCGTTGAGTTGCATGTCGTTGAGCTTAAATTTTAATTAACCGTAGTTTGGCAGGGCGGATCATGATCAGATATGGTACTACTATTTCTCGGAATGTGCACCGCATATTAAATAATGGATACAGTACACATGTGCCTGGAATGCGAGGCGAAGTGGGAAGGTATGGCCGTAGATCGATAGACGGGCGCTGAGACGTTGGTTCCTGGGGAGGTGTGGGGTCGGCGATTTTACTGAGACAGATGGCGCAAGTCCTCGACTGCGGGGTTGTAACTTATCCTACATATGTAGGTCCTATTGCGAGATGCGGTGCCAAGAAGGGGTATTTTCCAACGGGGGGCCCCGAACTGCGGCTCTGAGATGTGTGGGCTATACGACCCTAATTAAAGTCGCGGCATTTCACGACGCGACCCATGGTCCTGAGCTGTCAATGATCGCATGTCCCACCCGGTCGGGTCGTGGCCGGTCATTGCCAACACTGCTGAGAATGCGTAATTAACGGCTCGCAGCAATTACGCAATTGCCGTTGAGACCATTGTCGAAATATCGTAGCCTTATGGGCCGCCCAATACAATTGAACCAGGCTTAGATACAAATCTTATTTTCGGGAGCTAGAGGGGGATCCGCACCGCTCGACGGGGTGAAGAGGGGAATGACCAACAGAACGCTGGCTTTTGCCAGACTGCACGAGCCTTTGCATAGAGCGGAGGTGTATATAAGGCTTGTGCTGATTCGGGATGTCCTGCTTTACGAGTGCTGCAAATCGCCCAATTGATACTATAACGTCAAAGTGCAAATAAGATCGAAGTTAAAGATCCCTGGATCACTACTGATGGTTTGATCCTACGACTGGTCTTTGCCTTGCGAGAACGCATCTTCGGCCAACGAGTTTCAGACAAGCAGGTATGAAGAAATGCTCAATTGATTAATGAACCTATAAACTAATTAGCATTAATTAGAAACCTCTCCCCACTATACTACATAGTTAGCTGCCAAGCAATATCCTACAAGTCCTCGCCATCAATTGCAAATAAAGAAGTACAGCTAGAACCCCCACGTACGTACTGAAAGTCTCGAGAATCCTAACCGTAACCCCAAGACGCACACCGCTCGACCCCCAATATCAGCTGATGACAGTGGTACAGCTGCAGCCTAGCCAGAGCCTATTTGCACCGCAGCTCACTGATCACCCCAGCAGCCGCACTTCCTCTCTGCTTGCTAGTTTCAGTCGACTCGCTTCGCTTACTCTCTCCACCCTACCTGTCTCAGGAAAACGATCGGTCAATACGAAAAAGTAGCCACTCTAAGTTTTCATATCAGCAGACGTACAGAAACAGTCTCCAACGCACATAGACACACTAACTATGAACTCCTCCATGCCCATTTTCACAAACAGTACTACTAGTGATATAGCTAGTAATACTGCTGGTAGCACCGGGGGAATCTTTTTAGGGATTTCCTGGGAATCATGGCTAGCCATTGCGGGTGCTCTGTGCACAATTCTCACCGCATTCTGGCAGCAACAAAATATTGTCTTTTTTGTAGAGAATGTGCGCGATTGGGCAGCGAAGAAGAAGCTCGCGGTGAAGCGGTGGTGGCGGTCAATTCGAGGAAAGGTATTATAAGATTCCTCCCTGCCATGGATGCGAGACATGAACGTACTCTCAACTAACACCTCATAGACTCCCGACCAGGAAGAAGCAGAAGAAGCCAAAGACATCGAAGACGAAGCCGGCGCTCCCATCGAGCTCAGCATCAGCATGGCCAATAGCCACACCACGCAGGTGGTGAACAACTACTACAGCTTCCATCACGGCCACCCCGCTGTCAGCCTGCAGTTACCGGCTGCAGCTGTCGTGAGGCCTACTAGTAGGACTATCTCCAACAGCGCTGAGGCACCATTCCGTACCCGAGTCCGAGCCGCTACATTGTCCGGAGTGCGGGATGGTAATGCTTCACCCCCAGATCGTTGCACTGTTTAAATTTCCCTCACTGCTGTGTGCACGTATACTCCAATTGGAGACCTTGTTGACATGGACGCGTGTAGATCATTATACTCTGCGTCGATCAGAGGTTGCTTGGTACCATGAATCGGAGGCTGTGGTTTTCCGCGAACTGGAGGATAAGGTCCGGCAGTAGTGATGTGAGAAGACTTGGCTACTAGCTCCATACGTGGTCAGTGTCTGTATTTGCGTGGCCCGCTTCTAGTATCGTAGGTTTAGATGTTGGGCATTTGTTGACTAACGGTTTAGGTCTGTTCTCGTTCGGGTTTTATGCGTTTATTAATATGGCTGAGTGTGGTGGTTTCTCTCATGGCTGCTAAGCTTATTATACTGTCGATCTACTTTTTTTTCTTTTTTCTTCTTTTTCTTCTTGCTATTATTTATAGCCACCTTATGGGCTATCCATTTCTTACAATATTAGTTCCGCTTTTCAATACGGGGGGGGGGGTGGTTCGTCGGTATTATCATCTGCATGCATCATTATTACTATTGTTATTACTATTATTATCCTAAGAGTAAGGGTAGTCTACATAAATTAGACTGGAGTTTTCTTCTTTTTTTCTCTAGCACATGGCCATGGGTCCATTGTATTAGTACTATTACCACTAATTATAATGGATTCATGTTTCTTTATACTCTTATTATTGACCATGTCTGCTTTTTGAAATGAACTCAATAGAAGATGAGAGAAAGACCAGACGGTGGTGGTATTGCAATGACCACATAACCACTGCTACATATACATCAGTCTTCTTCTACCATACTGTCCTTTTTCTCGGGCTTCTTGTAACTGCAATCCATGAGCCGGCTCAAGTTGAGAGTGCTGTCTCAAACTCACCCATGATATATACTGACTTAGGCTCGAATCCCTCGTCAAGGATCGACTTGCTCATCAAATATCTACCCGCCTACTAAGTATCTATCCGCCTACTAAAGCTCGACTCGCCCCCCAAAGCTCAAACCTCTCGAGCCCGACTTGAGTCTACCCAAAGGGCAAGCGGTACGCTATTCCCCACACCCGGCTCGAAGAAAACGAAAGTTTAATCATTTCCAGCTGACCACCACTGCCGGTATCGTGTTTAAGGTTCCTCTGTTACTAGCAGGACGGGCTGGTTGAAGAGGAGCTGGCTCAGGACGAGTTGGCCCTGGCTCAAGCTGACGAGCTAGCTCTTGCTAAACGAGCTATCTCTGGCTAGCTGAATCCCGCAACAGACTCAACCCCGCAACACTCAACCCCGCCCGGCTCGTGGAGACTCGGGCTCATCAATACTCGAGAAGCTCTCTCGAATCTTGCAATGTGTCCTCTACTCACGTGACCGAATGTCGTGACCAGTCAATTGATGTAACCTATTCGATTTTTTCAACTTCCAATTTTATTGCTTGACTCTAAGGCCATGCCTCTATAATTCCATTTTCAAGTTGGAGCCCCTCACGGCCATACTGTAACTGCCAGATAGAGTAAGGAAAAGACCTGTCAAACAGAAGTAGCATGGCCCAGGCCAGTACTTCTACGCACCTGTATCTGCACTTTCACCGGCCATCCTTATGCCTCATGCCCATAGCTAAAAGGCTCAAGCTTAGGAGGAGCTCGAGTATTTTATGAGATTGTTATTAACACACATCTCTCGCTCCAGTCACGGCTATATCTCCTGGCAGAGTTAAGATATGTCGCTATTCTGATCATTGACCACCGGCGGCTCGATCGAGAAGTATCTTTCATTCGGGCTCATGGCCGCGAAAGGGCGAGCGGCCTGAAAAATAGTTGAGAATAGACTACCCAGATATGGGGTCAATGTAGTTATTAATCGGGGCAGTTGCCGATGTTTCGTTCTTGCTTGCCTTGTGAGATCTTGTTAATATATGTACCAATCCGTCGCGGATGTCTTTACCGCATTGCTGCTTATAAATAGTTGAACATTATAATGTGGTTGGCCCAGCGAGACTTGGAGTCCTTTGCGCAATTTAAGATTGTATGACGGACAGCTAACTTGGGACTGGTTGGCGTTAGGCAGTCGCAAGAGATTGTGGCGACATGTAATTAGAATAGGTATCCGTAGTCATAGATAGGTGACCGCACGTTGTTGTCATAAACTAGCTAGCTTGTCTGAATCTTGAATACAAATAATCCAAGGAACTCCTACACTGCTTAAATAATTGTCAGCTCGGCCGCCAGTCACTCCCCGGTATCACCCAGAAACCCGCCGCGTTCGTTTTAGTCGTAAGAAGCAAGTCGATCGGTCGGTACCTGCATGTGCGTAACCTTCGATCGCATGTGGACCCGTGCTGGGGCGGTCATTACCCTAACGAGCAATATGGCCGGTTGTATGTTGCAATGGCGACGACACTGCGGTCAACGCCGCTGGAAAGTTGATGTTTTGATAATTAACCGCTAGCCATAATTTTTTATCTTAATTATATAATTAAGAAGAAATACCGGTGACGAGGTTGCGAACGATCATGCATATATATGGCTTATATGCATGATCGAGAGTGACTCCGAAGCGTATATATCTCTGTATGTCCTTTCAGCCTTATGAAATCCAAAGAGAACGAGTTGCGTGCAAACCCTAACAGGAGAACCAGCTATAGCTACATATATAGCTACTCTGTTGCGTCATTCACAGACTAGTTGCCTCATCATGAGCACCCCATATCGCGATCATAAATCGGGTTAGCACGCACCATTAAATTGCCTAAATAACTCGTTGCGTAACTATCACCACACCGTTCCATTCACCGTCAGGCCTGCAGTACAGATAATTCCCCTTCATCTTACCCCCGGGCCGGGCGTAATCCGTCCTGGTAATGACAGTTCCAAACGTCGCGTTTCTACTATTTTTCGTCATGAAATATGCCATGAACAAGTATATAAAAACCCCGCTCAATCGTCATCCTACGCATACTAAATCTCACTTATAACATCCGGGAAGCATCCCTCAATTGAAATTGATCAATGTACGAGACCAACCTGTACAACAACAATGAGGGCGGTAACAGTGCGAGTAGCAGTGAGTGTAGTACTCTCTACGACCCGACTATGCTAGGTCCGGGCCCGGGATTTGATCAAAACCCACCACCACAGCAACCACCACCACCACACCCTTGGACCAGCGAATACGCGGCGAGTTGGGGAGTTCCACAAGATCTGGAGCCTGCCGTTTGGGATATGGGCCTGAGTGACTACTACGCCGGAACGGTATTTCCGTATAATTTCATCAACCGTACACGATTCAATGGCACTGGATCCTCTGGTAGGGCCCTGAACACAGCCATTGGGGTAGAGGTACCGCTAGAGCCGGTCGAGCGGCGGCGGAGGCTCCGAGACACTGCCGAAACACTCCTTCCAAATGATGACTCTTCCAAACACAACAACGGCTCTCGTTCCCCTACCGCGCCAGACCCCGGAGTAGCTGCTCGACTGCGCAAGGAGATGGGGGGCGCCAAGACCTTCATGTGGTCGCGGGTTGAGGGCGAAAACCCAAATCCCAGGATGTACCTCATATTTAACCTTGCGTACGATATAGATAAGAAGATAGCATCAATTGCGGCCGATGTATATTCCATACGCTATGGCTTTAAGGCGCTCTTGAAGGCTGGCGCGTTGTTCGCACTGCGAGATAACCTGCAAAAAAGTCTGCGGGCAATTGAAAAGGCCCATGCCGAGCTTGAGAGGATACTTGACCAGGCGGTGGACGAGACTGATGGGTTTGTGCGGTATGTCAGCCAATTTCGCGGTGCTGTCGTAGTGGGTTAATCAGATGCTTATATTATTCTTTTTTCCTTCAGCCCTAGTCCGTACGCGAAGATTCCGTCGATGATTAAGACTAGGCGCCGGGAGGTGAATAGTGAGGGTGAGTACTTCCCACGGCCGCGGGCAGCCTTGAGGGTCCCTGTTGTACCTACGGTAGTCCAAAGATAAGGCTGGTCTTTATCAGGATTGGGCGTACATATGTAGTGTTGGTAAGTTTTCGAGATAATTAGCTGCGAAATAGAGTTATATAGCAATTTATTTATGAGAGAATGAACCTTGACGAACAAATTCCCTAGTTTTCTATATATATTTAGTTCAACCGACTAGAAGATAAGCAATGAAATCACAGGATATCACTCGACTAAGATGAATCATTACATGCATTTACTGTTACGTTACTCCCCAACCCTCCCGCATTAGAATCAAGAAGACTAAGAGTTAGTCGTTGGTAAAACCGGATGCAGTCATATTTCCTGTCTCAGTGAAAGGTTGTGTATGTATGTCTTGTTTCTAGGCTGGGCATGAGACCACAGAGCTCCAATAAGCTACATGTATTTAGATGCAGAACTCTGAGAAATCTGTATTATTTCGCCTAGCACACACCCTAAATTAGTGGCTCGAAGGAGAGTATAGGGAGACGTATCTGTACTTCAACCTTATTGATTTCCATGTTCCAACTAGCTGTAACCGTAATATAAGCAACTTGAATATAACTGAATATTCTCGATAACAAGGGTCTTCGTAACTACACCTGCACCAATCGCGTTGCCACCAGGTTTCTAAAGTCTACCAGTCAGTAAACTGACTTAGGTAGCTATTTTTGAAAACCAAGGTTAGTCCCAACTAAATTTCGTCGTTAGATAGGCCAAACAGAATTTTTTTTTATCCGTAAACGCACCCCTTAGTTGAGTACAATTGGTGAAAAACGCACGATAGATGGTCTCTTCTAGATATATATAAGTGTTGTGGAATGGGGGAGGGAGGCGGCAAAGGTGATCTCCTTTACCGAGTTGAAACGATTGTGGACCCATGTTTCTATGGGTTTGAGTGTTGTAAGACTTTGTGTGTTCCAATGGTTGCGAGAAGACCAAAACTATTGGATGATAGGAGAGGTGATAATGTATTGCTAGGATTACTAGAATCCCTAAATGATTAAGGGCAGGTTGTCACGCTACCTGTTCCTCGCTACAAATCTACAGTTCAAGTATACGTAACTGATAGTTACGTGTGCCACACGCATACGACGGCACCGAAGGAGATTCTCCATATGGTTGTACCAGGTTCCTTGAAATGAGCACAGATCTGCGGAATATATCTGCTGCGAGTACGCAGTCCATCCTGTTAGCTTCAGGTCTGATAAATCCACCCCCGAGTGTATTATGGTTCAATGATAATCGCATAGAGAGATAGGAGCCAGCTACAGACGAGTATTAAGTGAGTTGATGCCAAGTTGGTGTATTAGAGAGTTATCGATGCCGAGTTTTGGCAGAGGTACGTGATGCTCCGCTAAGGTCATGAGAAGGAGAGGATGTTTGAGTAAAGTCTCTATTTTAGTGAGCAGATCGGTGTATTTATCTTATTGAAATGGCCGACGAGTAGTGAATTCATGTATATTAGAGCTGTGTAAATTAAAAACTTGGAGGATTAGTGTTTTCGATGCTGATATGTTTAAATGATTGGAATGATGTGATGACTCGGAGATACATCCACTTATCGGCAGGAGAATTAACATACAGAGTCAACCTATTCGCCATAATCACACATCTGCATACAATGATGCACATATATAACTCCTTGACTTTTGGTCGGTTGAAGTCACCGTTTGTGCTGCTAGCTTTGTTTTATCACGGGAGTGATGACAAAGATAATTAATATGAGCGTCCTCCCTGAGTCAAACAAATGAAACAGATGATCTGATCAGGTTTTTTTATTTATTTGTTTCTCGGCTGGGGAGTCTCCAACTTCGTAAAAGTCATCACATGTCGAGTGGTCCATTATCGACAAATAGTTTCACAGGGAGCGCCCCTCCATGGCCAATAGCTAAAACCGGCCCATTCAACTAAGAATAAAAATGCAGATTAGGTGCTTTTATTCGTAGCCTTATTAGCAAGGATATTTAGTATCTGATCTATGATACTTCTATTGGCCGCCAGAATAAAGAACAGTTGACTTGATAGGTCATGGGGCGTCACTCCGATTTGTCACGCGAGTTGAAAGCGCTATCGCCCCCACTTTTGTAACGGGCTAGGTCTGATGGAAATACCAATATTTTAAAATGCAACTAGGCCGCTTGATAAGCTTGAATTTTTCATCAAAAACAAAGGCCCTTACTGCAGCGACCTTATTCTCTTATTGATTATTAAGTAAAGTATATATACTTCTGTTTGGTTTTTTTGGCTTTGGTGATGTGCCCACCACATCCCTGTGATTGCGTACCTAAATTAGCATCGCACATGATTATTAGTAGCAACTCAACTTTCCATAAGCGAGCATGTAAAAGCCAGATCTGCCGAATTTATATCAGGGTAATATTCTCACCGCGATTGATAAACTCGGCCCGTGATTATTGCCTATCTAGATGGACACTAGCTCAAAGAGAAAGGAATTATCCGTCTCGCGATTCCATGCACCACTCGGATAAGTAGTACTGATCATGAGACATCACTCGCTGAAGGCATGATAGCTTTTTGGTATTGCCGCGATGGGGTTCCGAGGCGCGGGGTTCTCTATCGGGCCTCAATGCGGGAGGATCCTTGGAATCCCTCGAATCGAGGAAATCGACCGATGCGTACGTGTAGCGAAGGTTGTCTCCACGCGAGGCCCTTTTCACACCTGTTCGATAATTTTCAAAAAGAGTCTAGTTAGTTCTTTTTCATTGTTTAAAGTCTCGAAACTTCTGAAAGGATTTTTCTTCACATTTTCTACGCATTTCGAAACGTCGAAAGCTATTGGTCGCCCAGGCTCTTTGAGCGGCGATTCAGCTTCTGCATCGCTGATACGACATTGAATCCCAACGTTCCAGGCATAAGGTTGTTCCGGTTGTGTCGAGAAACAAAAAATATCATTGGCAGCGTACATCCATAATTACGGAACGGTTACTCCTCCAATGAGTAGTACAGTGGACACACGAAGGGCTCTGCCGGTATTTCGGCTTTTCTACCGGAAGTTGTGCCAGTCTTCCGCAACTTAAATATCTTGTTAACTAGCAGAGCAGGAATCGGTAGGGTAGACAGGTCGTTGCGTTTGCATACAGTACATGATGCTTCCTGTGGAAAGAAGGAAGTAATGTTTCTCGTTCAAAAGTTGCGCATGGTATGGAGAGGGTGAGATCGGTTTCACCGTCAATTGCAGCACAAAGGCTCTACCTATTGGTTTGAGGGCATATGCAGCTCTTAGATCCTTTTGTTTTAGATACCTCCCTGATGTACCAGTAGGGCAGATTCTCCTGGTCTTGCCACTGAGAAACTCCAAATTCTAGGGTAACGGATAATCTTTTCATCCGTTGGTTGACTTGCAAGACGCTGAGCAATTGCTTTTGTTCAACCGACACCTTGCATGCTCCACACGCCTGTCGAGAGCCTCAAAAGGCGCTTGCGGATGCGGTGGTATGAGTGAACCATCTACTCCCACGCGCGTACTCTAGACAGACGGTGCTGATTCGCAGTAGGAAACATAAAAAACGTGGGATACCCGGTGATGATTTGTTATTTCGTCTTCACGATATGATTTCCCATTTCCCGTTTTTGTTTTCCCGGGTTCGGGGAACTTATCGATAGCAACTGATGCCAAAGCCTCGGAAACCACCGTTTCCACCAAAGCGGAGAGACCTACACACCTATTGTGAGATGACTGGGATGTCTTGAAGCATGTAAGGGTTGTAAGGGTACATGAGAAAAAAATGGTACATAGATTATCTTTCCCGCGCTGTTTGATGGAGAGCCAATGGGATGCCGACATGTGTGGAATCTGCAGGTGACGAGAGGTTGTGGAAGGGGAAAGGAAAAGAAGCAGGTACAACAATCGGGGTGCAATGAGGAGTACCAGTATTCTCGACACACAAGAAAGCTGGACGTCCCGGGAATTTTTTTTTACAACAGGGACATTTTCCTCGTGCTGAGAAAAAGAAAATGTTTCTTTGTTTTCCTAAGTTCATTCTTCTCCAAAGTGGGGATGAGATCCGTTGAGGGAGAGAGGGGTCTAGTATGGGGGATCTCCTGCCACTTCCACCTCCCTCATGTAGCGTACGTATGTAGAGTGCTCGTGATAGGAAATTTTCGGTTATTGCTTTTGATGCTCCTGGTTTGGCAATTGGCGCCTGGGTTCGTGCACGCTTTCCGATTTCGTTTTCTAGAGTATGGGTCTCGCGTTTAACATTTGAGTCCTGCAGGGTTAGGGGACAGCGTGGAAGAACGCCGTATGGAGCAAGGCGGGGGATGGGGCAAGTTTAGTCAGTCAGATGGCGCTAGGGGAGCTGGGGGGTGGAGATTTGGAGCGTTGGCAGTGGGCACTCAAGAAGCGGCGAAACACCACAAAGTGTGACTTCACTACCACGGGGGTAGCGAACTAGAGTAGGACTTTTTCTCTCTTCCACTCTTGCGAAGTATCTCCTCTCCGTTGTTGTTGTTATTGTTGTTGTTGTTCCTCAGCCACTTTACTCTCTCGCTCTACTTACACTACCCATCTCTCCATCTCGGTCGGATCTCCTCACCTGTTCTCGTCTCCTCCCACCCACCACCTTCCTCAACAACCCCCAGCTCCACTCTCTTTCTGACTTCACTCCAAGAGTACTATCATCATCTCGACACCCCTTCGTCTCATCGCTTCCTGCTCTACAGTTCCATCGATTGCGTTCCTGCCCCAACAACGGTTTACAGTTTTCCATTGCAGACCTGCTCGGCTAGGAACTCGTATTCAAAACCGTCCAGGAGGCCAACTTGCTTTGCCCACGTCCAAAGTCTCTGTTAGGTAATTGCCAGCCTGTGATATTTCTCTGACTCTCTTTGATTCAATCTTCTGCACTTCTGCTCCTTGCTATACCCCCCTGCATCACACCCTCTATCTAGTACCCTACTTCCCCGAAACCCACCCAATAAATAGTTTTCCGAAAGGACAGCACCAACGTGCTCTACAGGCTTGAGCATATTCCATTCCTACTTTGCCCACTCTGTTCCCAAATCCCTACACTTGTTACCAAGCTTCTTGAGTTACGTTATCTTGGTAGTGCGTTTTTTGTGGTCCATTGAAACTTGAAGGCTTACAAAAAGTCGCCTTCGCACAGATTTCACCTAAATACAACCAACATTGCACGTCGCTATAAACTAGCCAAAAATGCCAACCTTTAAGCACGTCACCCTCAACATTCACACACCGAAGGATCCCCCGGTGTCTACCGAAAACTTCTCTTGGGCCAACACTGCCCATTCTTCCTTGTCAGAGTATGGGGTGCACCGTCTCCGCAATACCCCCAAAATCACCAGTTATATCCCCTCCTCGACCAACTCGCCCTTCGCTATCTCTATCACGATTCTTGACAGCTATGTTCCGAAGAACGAGGGTGATGACCGGGAGAGTTTGGCGGCGTATGTCTACTTCGACGGGAGAGAGAAGGAAGAAACCGCCACCCTGCTGCGTCGGGGCGTCGAAACGTGGATTAGCAGCAGGTGGGTTGAGGTTAAGGAGGGGGAACTCGCAGAGCGGGAGTTTGTGTTCAAAGAGGTTGGGCTGGAGAACTTCCTCAACGGGTTGGATATCTCCAAATCCGAGAAGCAAGCCAATTCCAAGTCCAATGGTCGGAAGGCAGTCAACAGGAGGCACAGTATGCCGGCAAAAATGATCGAAGGAGAAGAAGAGGAGGAGGAAGGAACTAAGGAATCAGCAGGGCAAATCAGGGTAGATTTGTTCAGAGTTCGATGCGAAGGCCCTGTCAGAAGAGGTGTTTGGGGCGGGATGTTCAAGGACAACAATAACAGAACTGACAATGAAGATTTTGGAGGCGGAGTGGATGTGAGCCACACTGCGGGGTACGTTAACTGTCTTAAACCCGGTTTGGTGGGATGAATTGGCCGGGTGGGCACACGGAACAAAGTTTCCGGCAGTGAGTATCAATTCTTATAGAGAGCTTATTCATTTTTCTTTTCCGCGCGAACAGATTATCGGAACCGAAACCACTTGACAGAGAAACCGTCTCGACACAGAGTGTCAGTCATTTGGATCCCGAGGGCGTAGTCTACGCCAGTTTCGTGTTCTTTTACCGCGGAGAGCGTATGTGTTCATGTCTACTTTTGCAATTCCTCTATCAATTGGGAGCAAGGCTAACTAGGTTTATATATCTAGGTCAACTTAAAAAGATGGGCTTGATCAAACCGCCCCCTCCGCTCCCCGTTCTCACGCGTGCCGAAACTATTGTAACATCTGCCGCTGAGACCAAGTGGAAGAAGCAAGATTTCGCATCTCTCTCCTCTGCCCTCTCTTCGCTCATCCCCAAGAGTGACGGGTTACTGAATGGGAAAAAGAAAGGATTTACAGACTTCCGCGAAGGTGACGCCGAATGGCACCAGAACGGCCACTCGAATGGAAGCGGCAAATTCATCCCAGGCATCCATGACAGGGATGATGGTGAACTCCTCATGGGAGATGACTTGAGCAGAGACGCCAGGGACGCTATCAGAGAACGGATGAAGACCGAGGAGGAAGTTAGGCTTGAGGAGGAACTTGTCGGAAGAGTCGGACGAATTAAGGTCTGATCATGCTCATTTCCAACACGCTTCTTTTTTTTTTTTTTACTTTCTTTTCTCAATGAACCCCAAATGACGTGGATCGGAATACTGATCTGTATTTTGGTTTTTAGCTCAAGCGTTCCCATTCTACATCTTCACTCCAGGGTGATGGATCAAAGTCCAAGGATGCCACCCCACCCCCGGTAGTTGGGGACGGGAATTCGAATAATTTCGCCACCACCCCAGGAAACAATCACCTGGCACCCGAAGCGGCTAATACAGAGGCAGAAACTCCACTTAAAAAGCGCCGTGGAAGTGGTGATATTGACGTAAAGAGCCCCAATCTTGCTGCAAACAATGCTGCTGCTATGGGAAGGGGAGTGGGATTTGGGCACAATACCCCTCCTATCACTTCGATGACAGCGGGTTATGGGGGTGGGAAAATGGAATTTGGGGGGCTACTATCGAGCGGCATGGAGATGGAGGAAGAGATCCTATGAAGGACTCACAGGAATGGATGGGGGCAATGGTAGAGGAGTGGTGGGATTCTTGACACCATTTCAGGTATTTCTGGGCCTTTCTAGGTGCTATTCTTGGTTGAATTTTTTTTTCTTTCTATTTGTTGAGTACGTTAAGTTTGTGTCTATTTGCACAAAGGGGATGCTGCGCCGAGTTAACCCGTGAGATACCTGGAGAAGGAACTTGACAATCATTGCAAGTTTTCTCCTATATGGGGTCCTAGGGCGCGAAGTGCGGTTTGTAGTATGTTGGTTGTAAAGAATTCGGGGGTTTAGGCTTGAGATAGTTTTGGTGGACGTGAAAGTCAAGACATGGGGAAAGGCATAGATTTTCCGGAGATCGACACACGTATTTTTTTATTTTCTTTTTCACATGATTCCTGTATCATCATTAACCACATTCTTTTTACTGTTTCCTTATACTTATGTCTGAAGTATTTCCTTTCGCCCCTTCCAAACTTTTCATATCATTATATCCATCCACTCATTATAGTGTCTTCGTCGTTTCGGGTGGAGTTTCGGGTACTATACCACGGTTTTCGACTTTGAATACTAGTGTTGGATTATAGCAAGCAAGAGCAGGATTTGAGGAAGGCAAAAGGTGTACTTTACTCTCTTTTTAATTTGATATTTTGGAAGCCGGAATTGCTTTGCTAGCTAGCCACACCTGCGTCATCATACTTACATGTAGTCTTTTAGCAAATATATTAAGAATAAATTTTAGTGCGGTAGTTTGATACGATAAGGATGCGCAGGTGATTTTCGGGTGTTTCACGGATATCTGCATCTATTCCATAACTTTGTATACATGGTAAAACTCGTTTTGAACATCCTACACTGCACCGAAACCGCGTTCTCAAAAATACAATAAATGCAATAATAATGCAATGTGGGTTAGGGTTGTTATGTATTGATTGGACTGTACCTACAGCGTGGGTTAGGGTTACCTCATTGTTCGACCAACGTTTCCAAGGTTTGTGGGACATTCTTGATGCAATGTTTCGGGTGGAAAACATGTGTATGTCATCTACAATATTCTAGCAGCGTACTCTAAAAAGCTTGTTTCCCCAACAAAACCTTGAGGCACAGGGTCACTTCCGAAAATCGCGATATTAACGACCATTCCCACTTTGCGCACGAGGTCTGCTGGCAGCCTTTTTTTTCTCTCTTGAATTGTCATAAAGAAAAGCCATGTAAAGAAAACAAAAAAAAATAACCCGAGATTTATTTTTTCTCTCTCTTTCAGAATTAATGGTTTTTCCGCGTGTCGAACTCGAGCTAAGCTAAATGCGGCATTTCGTCTCCATTGGTGGCAGCAGCCGCCATGAGTCCAAAAGATGAGGCGGGTGGCCACAACTCCCGTTCCCGTCTATGAGTCTGCTGCATTTTTTTTTCCTTTTGAGTCATGTGGGAGTGCCGTACATTGTCGCTGGACGATGACGAGAATTACATACATACATGTATGTACACAGGCCCGGGCCGGAGCGTCTCGCCGTTAGGTAGCGATTATACTGGGTACAGTGCGCCCCACTTTTTTTTTCATACACGGGAGCTGTTGGAAATGTTTCTAGCCGGAGATTGCGGTGAGGGTTCTAGACTGTGTATTATTTTGGCGCCGGGCGGTGGTGAAACATCCGAAGGCCGAGCTGCTCTAGATTCAGAGAGGCCCGTAATCTTATCTTGTTGGTTATAATTAGGGTATATCAATTGGTGATATCGATAATTGGTGCTGACGGGGAAGGTGAGCTTCAGAGGATATCACTCGGTTTCTAGGCCTAAGGCAGGGTAATCGATGCGCGGTTAGCATCGACAGAGCCGCATCGGTCGAGGTTCGGAGGTATTCGAGCTTTGTCTGTGTCTAGAGGTGTAGAAATGAAAATGCCTGGTAGATTCAGGGATCGGTACCTCTTGTGATTAGTTATATAGCTTTAGAGCTGGGGTTGCGTTACCTTGCAGTGCCGCGCCCCGATGATTGCGCATTGCGCACGTTTTGGTCTAGCCGGGAACTTGAGAATTATGTTGTTCAAAAAGTCTGCTGTATGGCTTAATAGAGTGCGAAGTTGGTATTATACAAAGCTGGCGTATTCTTTAAAGCTGGTGGACCTACTTGCTGGTAGGAGTGTTTGCTTTATTAAGCGTCGTGCGCAGAGGTGATACGAGTTGAGAACACATTTAAATTGCAAGGCTTTATATCGATTAGATTAGTCTTCTATAAAAGTAAAGAATGAAAGCAGATGTTCGACTTGAATTGAATGAAGGAGGTGAAATTCAGCGAACAAGAGAAGTCTGCGCATCGTCAAATGCCAAGTAACTTTGGCGAATCAAAGTCTCCATTCAGTACATGGAATAGCTAGCTGACGATAAATAGCGTTCACTCCTTGACATAACACAAGTAGTGAGTGTTTAAGATAAACAGGTGCTGTCTGAGCTGTTATAACGGCCCTTTAAGCATACGCGCAGCATACATTTTGCGAATAAAGGAATTGCAGTTATAATCTGAGACTGAATAGCTGGACGGCTAACCTTACAATGGCCTGTAATAAGCAAGCGTTATCACACGAAAGCGCCGTAGAAAATCTAGGACTGGATTGATTTCAATGGAGTTAAGTTGTTTATAACGTGGTGATAATTGAACCCCTAGGGCTAATCAAGGAGTAGAGAACATTAAGCTCCTTGAAGTCTATAGCTAAAGGCAATGTCCAATCGTTATCCATGAAGACCTTCTCATTTAAAATCACCATTTTGTTATGTTGAGAATGGGACTTAACTCGCGTTCTTTCTTGAAAGTCCTATCATATCATAAGCTATCATAGAAATTCAAGGCGGCCACAAGAACCCATGCTTATTTTACAAGGCCTCAAAGCCGTAGTAAGTCCCATACCCGAAGAGGTACAATAGTATCTCATGACTGATGACGGTCAATTGTAAACTTCGATAAAAGTCGCCCGTCCAACTTCAAACTGCTAGATGCTGTTGCTTAAGCTTGCTCATCCAATCCTAGAAGGCAAACATTTGTTCTGGGTGTGGGGTTTTGTTTCCCATTTACTATTGGATTGTTTGTTAATTAGACATTGAACAAATATGAGTTGGGGAAGTGTTGGGTTGGTTGGTTGAGCTTATATAGAGAGGTCTAAGGGTTATGTACGTCACGGATACGTGTCTAGTAAGAACATTACGTCATGTGCGTTATGTCGAACCTACTAACAACGTGTTCTAGTCGATAGAGGAAATTTGGAATAACCAGCGATCGATGCACCCAGTCGTAACTCTGTCTCGTAACAGAGAAAATATAGGGGTATTTCCCATCAGACGGTCCTTTGGAAAAACGCGTTTGGGTAGCCATGATCATCATTCCCGTATCGGCCAAACCCGATTATTTCTACCTCTTGTACTTTGAGGTAGTTTAAGCCATCATGACCTTACGTATATGTCGCGCTTTAAACATCCATTTCGTAGATATGAATTATGCAGACGTTGCATACATAAGGTACATGTATGTATGACGATGAAAAGCAAATGCCAAATTCACCCGAAGATGCAGAATTTGTACACGTGCTAGAAATATCTGTCACCGTCGCTGATTTTCATTTATCACTTGCGTGACAGATCCACAGATCCACACACTATCACTCGGAGAGTAAGTGATCGCCGCCAAGGATTTTTACTTCCGCCGTTGAGCCGATGCAAACGCAACGTTTATGGTAGTCCAACTCATCGGATTTCTAATCATATTGGGTTAGGAATATTTTATAATATATCTAGCTTTCAGTACAGCCACGTGCCCCGAGTTAGTATTTTCTTCGTTCTACGATAAAAGGTTTGTCTCTGACATGGCTATGCTATAGGATGTTAAGTCAGGTTTGCACGCCTAAGATTAAAAGTGAAGCGGAAACGCAAAGCATATACAGACGCTACGTGATCTAATCCTCTTTAGGGCCCGATTTTTGGGGTTCGGTCCACGGATTGAGCCCAATCCATGGAGTAGGTATTTGAAGTGTTTGGCAACAGTAGCTGTACTTACCGTCTGAAACCACGCGAAACCACAGAAAAGGCCATAATCTGAACTTCACCTCCAAAGGTAAAGTTGAGATGGTTTCGCATGAGTTAAGAAATGCCGCACTCGAAGCCACCAACGCGGCAGTTTTTGAAATCTCAGTTTTTGCATAGCCATGATATTTCTTATCGCAAGATGTCATGTCTCATGAAAAATAAAAATTGGACTGATATTGAAAGAGTTAAAAAGTGGATCATAATGAGGAATAATGCAGAGAAAATGTGCCCAACCAAACACCACCAGTTTTGCTCGCAATCCGTGGAATGGTAATGTTTAATATATACAGTATTTTTTTTTTCGCGATCCATAGATTGACTCGTTGCAACCAAACGGGCCCTTATAGGAAACCCGAGATCTGCGGTAGCGGTACGTAGCATTTCTATAATCAGATCAGACTGGCGTTGAGTTCAGAAGTCTATTCGCAGAACAAGAGTCCTTTTAATAGATAAAGAGAGGTCTGGTAAGACTTTCTACCAGAGAAAGGTTTTCTGTAAACCTTCTTGTCAACGGGAGCCTCTCGCCGCAGGAACTGGGCAGGATTTCCAACGGTACAAACCGGTTCAAAATGAAGACGAAACCGCACCAACTGCTAAATTTCTACTGTCAAACCTGAACCAACTGTTTATGTTGACAGTTTAAACCGGTTTAACCGATAAACCGTGGTTCTATGTCTTGGTAGGTAGCCATGCGTATGATGGGTGTTCGAGATCGGGAATCGGGTGTTCAAGCTCAGGAACTGGGTCTTCCAGCTGACTAAGTGCGGTGTTCGAGGTCAGGAACAGAGTTCGTACAAAGTGTTTAAACCTTCAGTTTAATCGGTTTTGAAGATTTATGAACCGTTTAACCTTTTATTTAAGGGGGTAAGAACTCTACTAAACGGGGTTAAACCAGATAACCGGTAACCACCGGAAACCCTGGAACTGGGTGG